TGCGTTTGGAAATGACTTTGGGTAGTGCTCCCTCATCTCATCCTCCAATTCCATCTCCATTTTGAGCACTTGAGGAGCTGCCACTGCTCCTTCACCAACTCTGCCCTCTTGTTCCTCAGATCCTTTATCTTCCTGTCAAGGATGGTTACCGGTCGCTCGATGTAGTTCAAGCTGTCATCCACTTGAATATCCTATAAAGTACCACTACAGATTATCTACCAAGCACTTCTGTAACTGGGAGACATGAAAAGTGTTGTGGATTTGACTAAGTTCGACCGACAGATCCAAGTCAATATGCAACCAGGCCCACCCAGGCCAATACCCTGAATAGGCCAATGTATCTAGGGTGCGACTTGCCCCATTTCCTAAACTAGATGATACCTTTCAAAGTTGACACCTTCAAGAGGACCATATCTCCTACCTGAAACTTTAGTTCATATTGATGTCTATCGGCGTAACTCTTTTGCCGACTCTGAGCCATCTGGAGTCTATTTTGGACCTTTTGGATCCTCTCCGTCATCTTGAGTACCACTTGGGTACTCCTCATGACCCTCTTCCCAACCTCACCCCAAAATATCGGGGTTCTGCACTTCCTCCAATAAATCATCTCGAACAGAGGATGGTCGATGCTGGCGTGGTAGCTATTATTGTTGGAAAACTCTAACAAGGGAAGGTTTGTATCCAAGCTACCACCAAAATATAAAACACATGCCCGCAGCATATCCTCCAAAGTCTGGATGGTCCGCTCCCTCTAACCTTCCATCTGCGGGTGAAAAGCGGCACATCTTGGTCATGAAATTTCTTCCAGAATTTTCTTCCAGAATCTGGAAGTGAACCTCGTACGTCTCGGTTAGAAACTACTAAAACTGGCACCCCTTATGTAAAAAGGAAGTGAATTGATTTGTTGTCCTTGTAACGTTTGTAAAAACTTTAAAACGTTTAATTGTACTGACTAAATATAGTATCGTTTGTTGCAAAATTGTTTTGTGCCTGATTGCACTTGTTGGTCAAGACATGGACAAGCATTACTAATTATAGCACATCGTTGAGCAATTTACATAATAATAATAATAATACATACAAAATGATTCATATATTGATGATGATCATCATCATTCAAATGACCACGATGACAATTTAATGAAATGTTTGATGACATGGAGGCTAATATGGGTGATGTTGAACAAGAAAAATTATAATGCCTATTTGAAGAAGCATAAACACGGTTATATAGTGGTTCCAAATTTATGAAACGTGATGTTGTATTGAGGTTGATTAACTTAAAGTCGAAAAATGGATGGAATGATAAACGTTTCATAAGTCAATTAGAGCTTTTGCATGACATTCTTCCGGAAGGCAATGAATTACCCATTTCTATATACCAAGCAAAAAAAAGTTAATGTTTATAATGGGACTAGAAGTTGAATGAATAAGGTGATTGTTTAATAAGGTGGTTCTCATTTTTTTTTGGTGTTATTTGTATGTTTTCCTCGCATATTTTATCGGGTGGTTTACAACATTTTTAATTCGGTGAGTGAAACCACATCAACAAATAATGTTAATTTTTTATGCTATATTTGTTAGTGCGGTTTGATACCCACGTCAAAAAATAATATTAACCGTATTATTAAACCTCTTACGTACTAGTGACATATGTTATTATATTGTAAAATGAAATAAAACAATACAACATATACTTTTGTACCTTATAAAATTTACTGATTTAGGATCTAAAATTAATAAATAATATATAAACGGTCTTCAAAATGTACAAAGTCAACCTTGATCTTGAACAACCATATAGTCTTCGTTAATGTGTTTTCTTTTTGTGCCAAAAACCTAAAGTGTTCTTAAAGATTATCCAACATTGAGTGTTTTGAAGCACTAACATACACACAAAAGACAAAAATATCAGTACGGAAAGTAAATATACAAGGTTTTCATTAAATCCATATTATGTGATTATTGAAACACCCTAACCCCTATTTCTAACAATATATGTGTATTTGTATTCTTGTCCTTAAAGTAAGGATGTGAAGATGAAGAGATGAGGTATCATGTTTATATAGATACACCTTTATTGCTTCGAGTACATTATAATATACATCATTTACACTAATACGAATATGGTTATATAGAGATAGGTTCAAATGTTTCCAACAAGTATTGTGTTCCTCTAACAACCAATCAGAATTAAGAAAAAATACAATCAATAATAAATCATAAAAGGGTATAATAGTAATCTTATTTATGATAAATCTGGTAAATAATTAAAATCATTAGTAACCTTTAAATATCACTGAGAGATCCGTTTATTCATCACCCCCCCCCTTTTCTAAACCTAATTAAACGTACTTCTCCCATCATCGACTAATGTCCAAACCCACTGCAATCGATGGTGGCTTATTTCCCCAACCCGTACGATAAATTCAGAAGCACACGACCATGTGTGACCTTTGAGGAGTTAATCTACCTTTGTAACACCCCGAATTTAGAAAATAAAGAAAGGAAAGGAAAACCCCCAAGTCGAGAGGTCTACTCATCGAGTCCAGGGAGGAACTCGACGAGTAGGAGCGAGTTCCGTGTCACAGATTAAGTAGCCGACTCGGTGAGTCGGGGGAATGACACGGCGAGTCTTGCCTGGGTTGGGAAACCCTAATTCCGGGACTTGGTGCCCTATTTATGCATCTCATTCTCATTTCCTCAACCTCTTGGATGCTCTCTCAAGACCGAAACGAAACCCTAGTGCCTTCCACAAGTTTGAGAGCCATTGTAAGCATTTTTGAGTGCCGTGAAGCTTGAAGAAGAAGGTGAAGCCTTTGGGATATAAGAAGAGGTTAGTAGATCTAGAAACCTCATGCATTCTCCTCCATTTTCTAGTAAGAAAGCTTCCACCTTGATCATTATGCATTTAGATCTCCTCTTTGTCACTTTTGAGGGTTTTTGGTCCAAGAAACCTAGCATGAGAGTAATGGACGTCCCAAGGGCTTATGTTTTCAAATCTAGCACCATTAAGGGTTGTTATGGGATAAAGGTACAAGCTTTATGACATAGGAATTCCCATGCAAGCATAAGAAGTGTTCTTTTGGCCTATTTAGATCAAAAGGCGATGAGTGGACGAAAAAGGTGGTAGCTTTGCCCGATTATGAAGTAGTTGGGTCTAGATCTATGTTTTGGATGCTTTAAGACCCTCAAAAATTGTCAGAATAGATTGGGACATAGAGGGACTCAGCGAGTCACTTGTGAGACTTGGAAAGTCAAACCATTTTCCTGCCTAAAACCCTTCTGTTAAGGGTATGAGTTTAGCTGGTAAGGGACTCAGCCAGTCTGGTGTCACACCCCCAAACCGGAACGGCGGAAACGTTCGGGGGCGGATGACTTCATGTGGTAACGTAACAAATGAATACATAGTAAAGAAAGCAATGCAACCATCAAATATATAATTGAAAGTTTACATTGTTTAAAAGTGTACATGTTCAAAATCAATTACAATATGATGTCAAAATATGAAATTAAACTGGATGCAGGCGTCCCTTCTCCAAAATCCGTTTGTTACCTGTAATTACTGAATCCCTGGGACATACAAGTAGTTTTGAAAGAGTAGATCAGCATTTAATCTGGTGAGTTTCATAAGTATTTAATGACAATGTTTGTATGAAATGAAATGTTTTTGTTCCTTGTTTGCTTGTTCCTAGAAAATCCTATATTTTCTACTAGTATAAATGTAGCCTTCTTTCAAGACCAATGTTTGTTTCTAGTAAATGTATGTACGTATAAAATTCCATATATGTCTGAAAAAGCCTGTAAATCATTGTGTTTTTAATACTCTATGTGAGTTTTATAACCATACTATTGACAAGGAATGCCTATACACAACGTTCATCAGGCGTTGGAATGTTCTAACATTTGTCACCCCAAATGGTGGACTGTAGCTAACAGTCAGGGCGCGGGTTGTCAAGCCCGTATAGATCTATACACAAACACCATGCTCCCCCTCCAAGGGACTCTGGTATATAATACAGGACTTGAAATGTGTACTCGAACGTACGTGAAGTTAACTCACAAACTAGTATAAAACAGATTTACATGTGAAACGTTCGTTCGTTATTGTATATTGAAAGTAGCTTCTTGAAATAGTATTTCCATGTATGTAAAAGTTCGTAATTCTCGTGATACTATACCTATTATAGTTTCCTAAAAGTGTGTTTCGTTTGTATAATAAACCCTTAGTAAAAATGTTCACTTGTTATGAAAAGTGTAGTTTTTGCAGTGCCAAAACCGACACACAGAAATGTAGT